GGCCGGCAACGCATCTGTAGTTCCTCTGGTGTTGCGGATGTCCATGGGCGTCGTTGACCACCTTTGTGTTCCCGCCGCTCGTTTGCCCCCTACTCTTATAAAAAAAAAAAAATAAAAGAAATAATTCATAGCTTTTTAATAGGTGAAAGAGAATTATTTCAGCTGAGTAGTTTATGGGTTATTCCAAAACATATAAAAATTCAAATCTTTCCTTTTTATAATATTAGTATACCATAGATTGACATAAGCACAAAATATTTTTTTAGTTATATTGTTAAAATTCATCTCTTCACAGAGAATAAAGCCCGCACTCAATGGGACAACATACAGTCGATGTTGGAAGCTAAAGTAGCTCTCAAATGTCTATTTGAGTTGTTGGTGGATACGAAGAGAGATCTACAGAACCAGAGTGAGAAGGGATACCAGTCCAGATACGAGGAGGTGAAGGAGGCCTACGATAGACTGGCCGTGGAGTTTGAGAATTGTAAGACTGAATACGATTGGGAACTAGCCAAAGTGAAACAGCAAAGTGAGGAAAAGGTCCGTTTTCAACTTTGATACTTTAAAAAAAACTTTAAACTGTATTTTCCATACGTATTCCGCTTTAGCTATAGAGAGATGAAAGTGTATGCAGGCTTTAGGTATTTTTGCTAGTAATAGTTAATATAGATTCACTGGCGCCAGTTAGTGTCAACATTATGCAAGTTGAATGCCAGCGCAGTCGTTGAGCGCTGCTGTCCAAGTGTGAGCCAGTAGTAAACGCTGCCGAAAAGCAGCTGGGATAATAAACTATTAGTTACTACGTCGCCAACAATAACTATCGACTATTATAGTTTACACTACCTGTTTCTCGCGACTTTATCCGCGTGGAATTTAAAAAAATAAAATAATAAACATAGCCTATGATAACGTAGCTTTTTAATGGTGAAAGAATTTTCGAAATTGATCCAGAAGTTTTTTAGTCATTTTAATACATGTAAAAATCTGAAAATACAAATCATTCCTCTTTGTAATATTACTATAGATATAGATATTTGTAGTACCATATGAAGTTTTACGAAGATGTCTTTTAATTTCCAGTTGCGAGTATTGCTGGCGTTGCAACGCGGCGTGTCGGTGCGCGGGGAGAAGAGCGAGGCGTGCAAGCAGCTGCAGGCCGTCATACAGTACCAGCAGGACCGCCTCGACCACCTCGAGATCGAGAACGTACGTAAAAACATCATCAACACTTGACGATATATAATACTTGAGGATCGCTGACGACTTACTTATTAAGTTAGTTAGATAGTTAGTTAATTATTAAATATTCTAAAGGAGGGGCTGTGATCTTTGTTTAACAACTCTGTTTCTTTCAGTTCATGTAAATCTGGTTTATTTAAATTTGTTGTCCAATGTAACTAATTATTTAGGAACCCGTTTACTTTCAGAAAAAGTTAGCAGATGAACTGGAAGAATATCAATCTAACAGTAGAAGGGGAAAGAAGCGGAACAAGACCAGCACAGAACAGAAGAAGATAGAACATACTCCTATCCCTGTCACTGACGAGGAAGATGATGACGAGGATTCGGAGAAGGACCCCGATTGGAGAGCCACGCCATTGTTCAAACGTATACAGGTACCTTTTATTAATATTATAAATTATTAATGCGAATGTTCTGATGGATGGATGTTTGTTAATAATTGCCTAAACTACTGTACGAATCTCGATGAAATTTGTCATAGATGTAGAGAATAGTCTGGAAGAACACACAGGCTACTATTGTTTTTTTTTAATACCACGCGACCGGAGTCGCGGGCGAAAGTTAGCTTCGTATAAAGTCATCTTGCGAGTTACGGCAATCATCATAACAACTTGAACTCTGGACACTGTAGCTCAAACTATAGATTACGTACTTTCGTTCTAAGATTGGAGAAGGTTTTTAACCCAAGATGTTCTACTCCTTTTCCCTTGTATCTTTCCTTAATCATTGTTTGACTTAATTGGACTTATCGTGGTATGCACCTATCATTCCTGTCTTCTTACAGGCTCAACGCACTCGCCTAAAGATGAATTTGACTGCCAACGAAGCTGACACGTCGCGGGCGACGAAACGCAGCAACGAAGGTGTCCCGCACTGCGCCTGCCGCGGCTCTTGCTCTACCAAGATCTGCGGCTGCGTGAAGAGCGGCGTCGGCTGCGGCGCCGTCTGCCGCTGCCAGCACGCGCTCTGCAAGAACCGCAACCACACGCTCGCCGACGACAAGGAGAACCAAGTACGTTGCCACGTCCATTTCACACCTGTCAGTCGCCCAGCACACCTACATCACACCTGTCAGTCGCCTAGCACACCTACATCACACCTGTCAGTTGTCTATGACACCTACATCACACTTGCCAGTTTGCTATGACACCCATATCACACCTGTCAGTCGTCCAGCACACCTGTCTATTATCTAGCACACCTACAACACACTTGTCAGTTGCCTAGGACACCTACAACAAACATATCGGTTGTCCAGTTCATCAGTATTAAAATCCAGTATTGTGGTTTATTTTTTTAACTTACATTTAAAGAAATATCTTTCTTTTTCAGCCGACAAGTTCCGACGGCGCACAGGACACAACATTTCCATCATTCTTTGACAAAAGGTGAGTGTTGTTACATTGTCGTATGTTGTCTGACACCCTCCTACTTAGCTCTAAGGCTTTGAACGTGTTTAGATTTGAATCGTCACAGGAATTGAGCGAGATTTCACACAAGCAAAAGATAACGAACGACAAAAGTCCACAACAAAGTGGACGACGGAATGGTCTGTTGCCGCTTTTGTCTGAGCCGAGAATGAAGAGTGTCAAACAAAAGCAGCGATGGATGCTCTCGTTGCTGTTATACCACGCCTGTGTGGCCCCCGTGTCCACTTACTGTGCAGATAATATACTACAATACGGACTGGATTTGGCCACTTATAATGTCGTCGGCAACATCTTGAAATTATTGATTTGGCAGGTTAAATAAATTTCTCCACGTATTGCCGAACTATGCCCTTACTGTCTTGATTTCTAAAGCGTTTTGATGTGTTGTGTATAATCAAGAGGAAATTTTAACGCGAAGATGTTGCTAAATGTATTAAAATGTAATATTTTCTATTTAAGGAATAACGACATTGACAAAATATGTAAAAAGCTATCGGGCGCTTGGCAAATATTCCAAAAGACGTTTTAGCGCGAGTTGTGTAAGTGCATAGTTCTGCAAAGCATTTCTTATCACATTCATTGTCTCATGTATGTAGTTATTTACAAATTACTGAATTTTATTATGTAGTTTGTGGCAAGATCTGATATGCAGAACTATGCCTGATGCTTGTCAAATTTGTTGACACGTTTTTTTATTCCTACCAATGTATTTGTAACTGCCAACTGCCTTATTCACAAACATGTTATGGACATAGTGTTTTTAATAGGAATTTAAATGTTTTAATGTAAATTAGCACACAATGTTATAATATAAAATAGATTTCATTATAGTTAATAGTATGAAGATCGTAGATTGTATAGTATTTAATATAATAGAAATCGTAGTAAATATTATGTTTATTTTCTTTTTCCAGAGATAACTTCGATGCGACGTACGTCAAGAAAAAGAAATGTTTCTTCTTTCCTGATGAACAATCAAATGATATATAATAAAGGTTAGTTTTTATAATCCATAGCTAATAATAAATATACTTGTAAAAAAAATAATGATATACGTAGTTCCTAAATATTATATTTTTGCAAGCCAACTTTTTCTCCTTATTTTATAGTATATTTCCAATTGATTATAATGATTAAACTAACGAGATTTAAAAATATTTCCGTGTTTGCTTGTAGATAGGCAGTGTCAGACAAAATAAGTTTGCACACAGATAATAGACAATATGCATATGACGCCAAACTAAATCATTTTATTTTTATTGTTTTTCCAGACTGAACAAATGCCGTCAATTGAATTCAAGATGATTTATAAGTTTATTTTTTTGTAACAATGAGCTTATTTAGTGTTAAGTAACTTATAATATACTAATCTTAGTGTAAATTAATCGTAGATATATGTAGATGATAAATTTTATTCCGTACCATATGTTAAACGTAATAAATTACGTATATAATGCTGCAACATCATTTGATGTGGACCATTTTATGAAATTGTCTAGTGAACTTGTGAATAAATTTTAAATTTATTATAATTGTTGTTTTTTTACCATTTCCACAATCACATCCTTTTAATAAAACAATCATGACAGGCGTGAAGTGGGAGCAATTCTGCGTTTCGTCTGATGATTGTGGTGCCGGAGGCCTAATTTTAATCCCTTTCCAATCTTTTCTTAAAAAGAAAATATGTGAACGAAAAGCGGATTTATGGGTGGAGAAGACGCAAAAAAGAGGAAATACACTATTATTATGCGTATCCTCTTTCGTCGATTAAGGGCAGGCAACGCATCTGCTATTGCGGATTTCTGGGCAGTGGTCAATTCGCCATTTCGGCGGATTCAGGTGGCCGCTTGCTCGTTTGCCACCTTATATTATAAGGAAAAATTGCAGAAAGAAAAGATTATAAAGATAAATAGCGTTTTTATTATCAGTCAACTCAGGGAATTAAACATGACAATAGTATGTTTGATAAACCGCAAAAGCTTATTCAATATTTTATTTACCTACCGAATAAAAGACAAATCGTCAAAATAAAAACTTCAATTATATTTTTCCATGAAGTTAATGCTTAAAATAAAAAGAATAAATTAATTTTTACATTACAGTCTTCTTGTCATCAGTCTGAAAAGAAATTAATAATTATTAATAATGGATGTACAGATATCCGAATGTTAGTAATAAAATAAGAACTAGTTATTACAAGTACACAAGATAGAAAGAGATAGATAATAGATTGTCAACTCAGTCGTTTTTAATGTATCTGTTTCAAACTCACCTTTATTAATTTCGTTCTGTTCGTCAGGGAAGAAAAAACACTTCTTTTTCTTGACATATGTGGCTTCCAGACTATCCCTGAAAATGAAAATTGCAGTTTAGTAGAATTAAAAAGCTTGACAGTTAAGAGAATTTTGTTTGTTAAGATTCTTGTGTCTACTGACCGGTTATCAAAGTACGACGGCGGGGTGATGTTCATATCTGTGTTTTCGGGACTTGAATTCTGGAAGAGAAAAGCAGAAATATAAGAATTTAACATTTCCAGGCTTTTATTTTAGTTTATATATAATAGCGGTGGTGACTTATAATATGCTGGTTTTAGGTTAAAATCCCACGTATAACGCTCAAATTTAATATGTATATTTATCTAACGTTATTACTGTGGAAAATTTTGTGATGCAATCTGAAAATCAGCAGAGAAATTTAGTCATATGTATGAAGTCAATCTGTGTTGGGTCAGCATGATTGACTATAGCCTAGTCATTAACTTACTAGTCAATAGACAGGTGTGATGTGGGTGTGATAGGCAGCTGACAAGTGTGATGTAGGTGTCATAGACAACTGACACGTGTGATGTAGGTGTGATGGACGCCTGACAGGTGTGATGGACGCCTGACAGGTGTGATGGACGCCTGACAGGTATGATGTGGGTGTCATAGCAAACTGACAAGTGTGATGTAGGTGTCATAGACAACTGACAGGTGTGATGTAGGTGTGCTGGACGACTGACAGGTTTGATGTGAGTGTCCTAGCAAACTGACAAGTGTGATGTAGGTGTGGTAGGCAACTAACAGGTGTGAGGTAGATGTGGTAGGCAACTGACAAGTGTGATGTAGGTGTGGTAGGCAACTGACAGGTGTGATGTAGGTGTGCTGCGCGACTGACGGGTGTGATGTGGGTGTGGCAACGTACCTGGTTCTCCTTGTCGTCGGCGAGCGTGTGGTTGCGGTTCTTGCAGAGCGCGTGCTGGCAGCGGCAGACGGCGCCGCAGCCGACGCCGCTCTTCACGCAGCCGCAGATCTTGGTGGAGCAGGAGCCGCGGCAGGCGCAGTGCGGGACACCTTCGTAGTTACGTTTGGTAGCGCGCGCTGTCTCCGCGTCGTTCACTGACCAGTTCATTTTAAGTCGAGACCGTTGAGCCTGAAACAAATCTTACTGATATTATAAAAGCCGAAGTTTATAGTAATGTTTGTTAGTATCTCCGAAAGAACTTAATTGTACGCGACTAAATTTATCAGAGATGTGGATGTATTTTTTAATCCTTTGGTAATTTTATTCAATTTTTTCACGCTAAATATCATGAAATATGTATCCTAAACCGAATAGTAAGTGTAAGGCTTTTTGATAAAAAAAAAGTATCATTTAAAAATATACTATTACTACGATTGTTGACATTCTACATAACAAGGAAGTGTTTTTTAGCGTTATCGATTATGATCAGATGATCAAATATGAAGTAGGGGACTTTAAGAGTAAAGTGAATAAGTATTTAAGTTAGCGTGTGCCCTCTTTCGTTTCATGACTCAACATTAGGTAGGATTGTGGTCAATTGCTAGCGTAACAAACATAAAATATAGTATAAGGAAACCATCATACTTGTATCCGTTTGAACAATGGCGTGGCGACCCAGTCGGGGTCCTTCTCCGAGTCGACGTCATCATCAGCGACAGGGTACACGTGCTGCTTCTTCTGCCGCTTGCCATTCACATACAACGACTGCAGCTCCTCTAGTTCATCCGATAACTTTTTCTGAAAAATAACACCATTTTGTAATGCAAACACTACTTTTAACTAATAGGCGTAGCCAGATCTAGGAGGGGGAGATTAATGATCAAAAGGAGGGGACTAATATTTTTTTTTTATATTCTTATTCACTGTAATAGAATACTTGTTTAGTGCAAATATACTGGTGACAGACATGTTTTTTGTCATAAAAAATAGATGAAATAGTTAAGCGCGGGATGCGTACGAAAGAATATGTATTAGATTTTATAGCAATTATTATATATTTTTAATTATTACTTTACCAACGTAATGTGGTTTTTTGGCTGCCGATATCAATTTAATACTGATTTCCTTCGCTTTTACGTACGTTTTCAATCTCGAGGTGGTCGAGGCGGTCCTGCTGGTACTGTATGACGGCCTGCAGCTGCTTGCACGCCTCGCTCTTCTCCCCGCGCACCGACACGCCGCGTTGCAACGCCAGCAAGAAACTCACCTGATTACAACATTATTTGTGTAAATCACTTTCAAAATAAATGGAATAATTAAAAAGTAACTATTCCCGTGCGGCTTCACCCATACTTTGTTCTATTCAAATGCTTAAATGACAACAACTAACAAATACCATTACTAAGGCAATTTTGTTTCTTTGCAGTCTTGTGTTTTTTCCTTTTCATGCATAATATTTTTTTCTAATTTAACCTCTCCCAAATTAAATAGCGTGAAAACAGAAAGGCCTGTCAGAAATATAGGGATTCTCATTAAGAAATAAATCATCAAAAACATGCTATGATTACTTAAATCTTGCATAACAAAGTGCTTTTTATTATATATAGGGTAACTCTATCTACTTTTTTTTTGTTTCGTTGTGTTGTTTTTGTGTTATAAAGTGTTAAGCTGCAAATATGATATGGTTTTAGGTGCATTATGTTGTTGTTCCCAAAGTTTGTTTCGCTGCATTTGTACTCATTATATTACACATCCGAAGGGGTACATTGTTGTTACTATATTTAGATGTTTGTATAATGTTTGTATAATTTAATTGCAATAAATAAATAAATAAAAAAGTGAGGCAGAGAGATAATGAGCACTTTCTTACCTTCTCTTCACACTGCTGTTTTACTTTAACTAATTGAGCCTCAAGCTCAGTCTTCCTGTTCTCAAACTCTACGACCAGTCTGTCATACTTCTCTTTCACCTCCTCGTATCTGGACTGGTATCCCTTCTCACTCTTGTTCTGTAAATCTCTCTTCGTATCCACCAACAACTCGAATAGACATTTTAGCGCCGCCTTAGCTTCGATCATCGACTGTATGTTATCCCACTGAGTGCGGGTCTTATTTTCTGAAATTATTTTATATTTCCTCTTTATAATATTAGTATAAACAATACTAGCTGATGTTCGAGACATCGTCCCCGTAAAATTAAAGAAAATAAAGCCTATGTTACTCACTGATAACATAGCTTTTTAATGGCGAAATAATTTTTGAAATCAGAAAATTTGAGTTATTTAAAAAAAAAAGAAAAACTCGATTTTTTTTCCTCTTAATAATATTAGTATAGAAGTATACGTAGATATGCTATTCCACCTTACCTTGATCAGCAATTAACATCTTCTGCTGCAGATCGGATATCTGCGCCTTGCGCAGCGCAAGGTCGTTCTCCAGCTCCGCCAACTTCTCTCTGTTGCCCTCATCCTCTGGATTGTTCTTGAATACCGCTATCTGTTCTGTCACCCACGCTCTGAAAATGCACTTACTATGTTTCACCTTCTCCCAGTTGGCGAAACAATATATAATTCAAAAGTAATGTAGTAAATCCAACAGCTGAATAGTGAAATGACAATTAAATTTGACAGCGTCTTAGTTAAGACTTTTAATGGTCTCGTTTAAACGCTAAATCACATTAATATTAAATTTTGTAAGCAGCGCTTACGGAGGAAAGTGTACATTGTGGTAAACTCGCTTCAGAATTCGGCCGTAAGTCATTTATTATCTATGGATTTATTTTGAAAAGTAGCCTGTCCTACAAAATTGTTAATTGTCTGATAACAATCCAACGTGTAAAATATAAGACGGAAATATCGGATTTTGTTTCTTTGTCTGACAGTGACGACATTTTTAAGCTATGTGAGCCTATATCAGCCGGTGGTGGGACAGGCCCTTAGTGTTTGAATTGCGTTAAAATGTTTAAATCCCCTCGCCACCCCTTTTAGACCATCGATTTAAATTGCGGGTAATATTTCATACGAATTAGGAATTACATTACCTGTATTCCATTAGTTCATTTAGCGATTTCTCAGCTTCCACAATACTGAGATGTACTTCAAGTTCCTGTTCAATGTACTGCTGGATGGCGCCAGTTTTGACAATTCCTTTGGCGTTGCGTTTCATGTTTGATTGTTTCTGTCTGTCCAGAGCTTCCTGATAGAAACAATGTACGTAGATTAGAGCAATGGTGAAAGGACGGTGGAAGATGTGAAATGTATTGTGTATGTGAGTGTGTTGTGTTGTGTTGTGTTGTGTTGTGCTGTGCTGTGCTGTGTTGTGTTGTGTTGTGTTGTGTTGTGTTGTGTTGTGTTGTGTTGTGTTGTATTGTTGTGTTGTGTTGTGTTGTTGTGTTGTGTACCTTGAGGCGCTTGTTGACGGCGACGGCCTCCTCCATCTTGCGCTTGAGCACGTTGCGCTGCTTCGCGTGCAGACACTCCATCTTCGCCATCGCGTTGGCACGTTTCCTGTCTTCATTACGTAGACGCAGCATTGTTCGCTCGTTATCAGCCTTCCATTTGCGGAATTTTTCACTCTCTTCACGCATTTGTCTTATTATTTTAACCTGGAAAATGGTTAGTAGTCTTTGAGTAAATCTTACTAACATAACAAATGCGAAAATTTAGATGGATGTTTGTTTGTAGCCTAAACGACTGAACGGATTTCGATTAAATTTGGCATAGATAATATAGTCTGGAATAACACATAAGTTACTTGTTTTTTTTTTAAATACCACGCGGGCGGAGTCGGACGGACGGAAGCTAGTGTTACTATAAAACACAAGATTTTCTGTGGCAAAAGGAGTGTGAAATCTACATATATAAAGCCTACCTTATTAGCTTTCATAGCTTGCAATTCAGCATTAAGTATGGCGATCTTGGCTTCGTTCTTTTCCTTTATTTTGATGATGTTTGCAAGCTGTTGGCATTTCTTCTTCAGATCAGATATCTCCGTCTCCAAGGTGGACAGCTTGGTACGAAGGTCATCTTGTGTAGAGTTCCTTGTCTGTAAAAAGTTTCACAATAAATTCTATCATTATTTATTACTTATTTTGTTATGCAAATAGGTCACATAGTTTAGACTTTACAATACCTTAGTCTGTTTCAGCTGCTGCATGAGTTCGTCTCTTTCCTTCTCTAGTTGATTAATCTTCTCCTCATTTTCTTTTAAGTTATTGTGGCTTTCTATAACATCTTTATTACTAGCCAATATAGCTTGAACTACAGAAGCTTTGATAGCCATAGCTCGATTTAACTCTTGCAATTCTTGATTCAATGCCACCTGTAAAGAAAAAGGTCAATATTTTTGTATAGAATTAGTATTACAGGTAATTAATTTAAGTTTACCTGTCCCATTGCTCGTTTCTCCTCCTCTATGGCAGCTTGATCTTCATTTAGTGGGACTCCATCATCCACTTTCTCACTGTCATTCTCTTCTTTAATATAAGATAGTTTAATCTCATGGTCAATTAGTTCTTCATTAGTCTTCATATTAACGAATTGTAAATCCTCTAACCGTCCCTTTATTTCTTTAAGATAATCAACAACACTCGTCTTTTGTTCATCATCAGGGACTTTGTCAGTTGTATTCAAATTATCTATAGTTTGATTGCATTGTTCTGTCAGTTCATTTAACTTTCTTTCTATCTTATCTTTAGCAGTTTCCGCCAGTAGCGCCTTTTCACATAAATTCGTGTTCTCTATCAACACATTGCTAAGATGCTCAGTCATTTGCTTGTGCTTCTTCAAAAGATCCGCATATTTTGCTTTTTCCGTTTCTAATTCTTCTTTTATATGCTCATCACCATGTTCAGTGATGGTCGGCAGTTTTCCTACCAGCTGAAGTCTCAGTTCATTCACCAAGTTGTTTAATCTGTAATATAAATGAGTTATAACAAATGACAGGTGCATGTTTGAGTGTATGAGCTGGTGTATGAAGTGGTGTATGACCTGATGATCTCCGCGGCCTTGGCGTCCTGGTTGATGACGGGCTTGTTGCGGATGCGGCGCGCGCGGTCCGCGTAGCGCAGCGTCGACACCGTCTCGTCCAGGTTGTAGTCGGCGGGGCTCACGCACGCCACCATCATCGTCAGCGAGTTGCCGCCCAGGCTGTCTGCACAGCGTCACACAGAGTCACACAGAGTCACAGAGCGTCACACAACATACACACAGCATCAGATACACCACATACCTTGCAGCAACCTCGTCAGCTTGCTGTCTCTGTAGCTGATGAAGCTCCTGTTGGTGCCGTCGCCCAGCGCAGATATCACGTTGCCCAGCGCCAGCAGACCTTGGTTTATCTTTACACCTTCTTTAAGTCTTTCACCACTTGCCTTAGTCTTTTTAACTCTCTCTGATCCAGCTAAATCCACAAAGTGAAATTTCGAAGTAGTTGCAAGGTTTCTAGAATAGATTAGACAATTTTATTGTGAATATAAAGAATAAAATAAAAGAAAGTATATTTACATGCTGATCCACTCACTTGTCAGTCTTACTCTCTTTAGCGACCACAATAGTGAAGACAGCATGACTTCTGCTGGATGCTTGGTTCATAGCAGTGGATCCCGTCACTCTGCCAATGGAACCCTTCTCCAACACACTCATTGTCTCCGCAGTAGAGGTTACCGGTAGCTCTGTGATACCTACAGGAAATTGAAAATCTAATAAGAACTGAACATACCAAAGACCAAATCATTTGATTAATGATTGCTAAGTCATTATACAGATAATGTGTATATCATACATTTAATAGTTACTAAGGGACTCCCTAACTGTATGTATCTCTGACTGAACTAAGGGACTTGTATTTACCTGGCAAGTGTACACCTTTGTTGATATCCTCTCTGATGTCAATGATGCTGTGTGCGCGCTCCTTGCCCGAGAGCAGGTCGTAGCACTGCTCCTGATATAGCTCCATGAATGAAACTGTCACTTTGAAACTGAACTTGGTCTCATTCACATCTATGAAGTCAAATATATCGGCAACTGCCAGTGGTATTATACCTAAAAGACATTTATTCTGATGATTAAATATTCCATTTTTGTCAAACAATTACCTTTTAAAGTTGGTGTCCTACCTAACTTTGTTGAATCACCTTCGCCTGAATAATTTGTTCCCATTGTGTATGTTTTTCCCGATCCAGTTTGTCCATAAGCTAATATTGTTACATTGTATCCTAAATAAACACATTAAATTAAAAAAAAAAACACATTATAAGAAATTACAAGATTAATTTATTAGCAATAGTTTAAGTAAAGAATAAATAAATATTTCATTCATATAAAATTATGTACCTTGAAATATTTTTTCAATAAGTCCTTTTACTGCAGTATCGTAAAACTCTTGTTGTGTGATATGTTGTGGAAATACATAATTGTATGTGAATGCAAGGTCTTTTATTTGAACTTGGGGCTCCCCAGTAACGACAGATATACATTCATCGCATCCACGTTTTATTTCTTCGTGCATTAAGGGCCTAATTCTCAGAGCCACTTGGACCGTATCAACGGTACTTTTATTATTCTCACAATCCATCTTTGTAAGTTTAAAATACTCGAGGTGTTTGTCGTTATGTTATAGTCAAAATCTACATACAACAATTACAATTTTCTTATTGCTGTCAAATAACTCCATTTCACTGGATTTTATGTCGATCGGTTCAGTATTTTGTAAAATTCGGATATGTGAGTAAATACATACTACGTTAATTCTGTTTTCGTTTATACAAAATGTAAGATGTCGCTTTATAAAATAATGTCTGAAAAGGAAAGTTAAAGATACTATACAAATGATTAGATCATTTTGCACTTATGATTTAAGCACAATGGTTCTTAAAGCACATTACAACTTTAACAAATACTTGAAACATATTCGTAAAACAAGTTCAAACTTTTAAAATCTTAACGGATCGAGAAGTTAGAAAATGAGTTGATAAATGTCAAAATAGTATAAGCAAAGAGCAAGAGTTGGGTACATGTAAAATAATTCATTATAGGTTCGTGAAAGATAAACCCTACACGCATAAAATATTACATTCATTTTGTATTTCTTTAAATATACCTGATAACTCACAATTTAACTTGATGCAGGTATACCTTAATATAAACATTTATTTTAGTTTTGTACTAGGTTGATCTGGTACACCGGTACGCAGTTTAACTTCAGTATTTACTCTTTGCCATTAAAAATAATTTATAACAACATCATCCACTTGTCAAATGCAAAAAAACGAGCGAAAGTTTAGAAAACAAAGTTTGGATTAACTTCAACTTATTATTAAACATCGATTTAATGATTACTAAACAATTATCCTGCAGTTTTATAGAAGTAGTAGTAGTGTAAAATCATGTAAGGTATATTTGTTGCTGTTTTCGTTTACTGCGTTTGTGAATTTGTGCTTGTGTCAACTGAATACATCATGCCGCCAAAATCTAAAAGGATTAAAAACATTACAACATCGAAGGAAAACACTTTTATTGCAACTAAGGCAATCAAAAAAAGTGTTATTACAAATGCTAAGGTGCCCAGAAAACCTTTAGCTGACAAAACCAATTCGGCGTCAGACGACAATGACCCCTTGACTTCTCCTAAAATTAGGATGCAAACAAGAAAAATGAAAGCAAAAAATGTGAATACTGTTGATGTGAAAGAAAACGAGAAAGTTCGTCAGAAACGAATTCAAAAGGTGCCAGATATTAGTAAAAATCAAGTTTTAAACTTAAAAAGTAATGTACCAATCAGCAAACCAGAACTTTCTAGGGTATTACAGAAGAAGCCAATTACTGTTTTTGAACCAATGCAACAAGTATGTGAGAAAGTTGTGGAGACCCAAATTACTGACAGTCGTCCTAAAAGGATATGCCGTCTTCCATCTAAATTTGATAATCATTTTATAAGCCCAAGTAAATGTATTCCTGTTCAACCAATACAGGCAAGTACTCCAATAGTGCAAATTGAAAAACAAATGTCTGCTATATTTGATAGTAAAATGATTGAAAACACTAATAAAAATCTGCAGACCTCATACACAAAATCTATGTCAACAGAAAGTTCTAAAAATAGTAGTATTGATAACAGCAGTTATAATCCATCAATGGAAAAACCAAAAAGAAACCTAAGATCAACAAAACGTAAACTAACTAAGCCTGTACAGGAAAAACAAAAAGAAAGCAAGAAAATCCCTAATACAAGGAAAAAACAAGCTGATACCAATAATAATGCAAAAGATTCAAATCTCAAACAAAGCTTATGTACATCACCTTGTAGAGATGTAAATAAAATAGCTAAGAATAGGATGATCAAAAAAGACCAGTCTTTCAGATTACTTGACCAGAAAAAAGATGCTAAGAAAAGAAGTGCCAATAACCTTGATGTGTATGAATTCACCTTTGATCCCGAACAGGAGCCTCCGCCGCAAAAGAAAAAACGTAAAAGAATTGTTAAAAAACAAGATAAGCCTAAACCTGTTTACAAAAGTAAATATGAAAAGAATGTTGCAAAATCATTAGCAGATTTGAAAAACGTTTTATCTAAAAAATCTGAAGCTAATCACCAAACCAAAACAACATTACAATCTCAAAATAAACCCAAACCAACTGTGAATAACATTAAAGATGTACCTCAAATTACAAATAATGTAACTGAAAATGTAATTCAAAATAAAAATAATACTATAGATAAAAGTGTACATCAAAATCCAAGTAACACAGAAAACAATGGTTTTCAGCCAAATTACAACTCTTTCAATGTCGAAGCCATAGTTCTAAAAGATATATCCATTACTAACAATTGTAATGACTTAAATTATTCCCCTGTCAATTCCCCTGACCATGTAAGACAAGCATCTGAACCTCGGAACATATGTGCTATTGATGTACGTAACAATCCCTTAAACATACAAGAGGATATTAGTTTCTTTGATGATCTTCCTGTAGCCAGTAGTAGTATGAATATGTCAGCAAGAAATCCATCAGCTACCCCTTGGAGAGCTGAATACGAACAATTACCTATCAAATGGCAAGTAAATACGTACGTAAAAGCAAATATGACGCCAGCATTTGAATGCTCGTTTATAAATTTTGAAAATAAGAAGAAACATGTTTATACAAACATGGTACCAGAAGACAATGAACCACTACCAGAGATAATAGAGACAGAAAAAACATCTAAATTGAAACAAACAAGTATAATTTCATTCTTCAAAGAAGTTGTAGAGCGACAAACACAGAAGAAATTAAAATCGAAAACAACGCCTGTTAAAAATCCAGCAATTGATAATAGTAACACAGAAGCACTTTCCGAAGAACAAATTGTGTCTAATTCTGTTCATACACCACAGAAAATATCAAGAACGATTACTGATTTGTCCGATAAGGAAAATTCAACAGAAATTGTTCAACAAAACTCACCAATAAAATCTAAAACAAAAAAATCTCATGAAAATAAAAAAGACAAAGATGTTACTTTCTTTGGTTTTGATGAAAGTCAAGAGCAAGAAAATGTGTCACCAGTTAAAGTAAAAAAAGGCAGAGTAAATGCATTCAGGCCTCGATCCAGAGCAATCTTACAAGAATTTAATGCACAAAATCTTCCAATAAGGATGCCTTTGAGGGCAAAGAAAAAAGATAGAAATGTAATCAATGAAGTTTTTGAAGAGATAACCGAAAAGAACCTTTTCCATGAAAAAGACAAAGAAATTACTGAAGAAACAGATGTAGTAGAACAAAGTAATGTTAATTTAAGTCCGGAAGATTCCCAGTCTGTGCATTTATTTGAAGATCTGGAAGTTATACATTCTAAGGTAAAATTATTCATTTCCAAATCAATAGGTTCTAATATCTCTTTCAATGTTATCAGGTTATTATGTAACTATTTTATAAAGGTTTAATTAATTGTTAAGGGAAATGCTTAGCATACATTTCTCATTCTAAAATTAATGGAGACTAAGTCCAATAGTACCAAAAATCTCCTTTATTCTGAAATAAGGTGCTTTAAATGTAGAATAAGAATGTTGTAAGTGTATTTTTAATATGACTTCATTATATTTTCAGCCTCCAAGAAAGAGTTATGGTAAAGCAAAGAAAGTAGCATTCCGACACCATTCCGAGTCCAGTGACACTCAGGAGATTGAAGTCCAAGGACAAGAAGGCTCCAGCGGAGAGGAAGACAACTTAGACGATCTGACATTCCAAATGCCATCAGCGCAGACTAAAAAGTTAAAGAAAAAGAAAAAAACAAAACAACGTTCAAAGAAAGAGGTAAGCATTTTTTTAAATTCTTTTTTAATACAATGTCTTTAACGCTTCATTCAATAGTGTCCAGTGTGATGATCAACCAATTAAAATATCTACTGAACTAGTTGAATTCTTATCCAAAAAAATCTGTTTCTGCTATAAAAAAAACTGTCGAATTAAGGGTAAATTATTTTTAAATATTTAGTATTTCAATTGAAACAACATAGCTTAAGAAAAGCCTATAACTGTATATATTAATGTATTTTTGTATGTAATAAATAAACTCGAAGGTTTTTTTTAAAATCCGTTTTGTAGAATTCGAGGGCAAAATCAAAACAAAAGTTCTTTATTATGTATAACAATAAACCCATTTGGTTAGTACTTAAAATAACTAGAAAATAATGGATTAGGGTTAGTGAATTAAAACTAAATGAATAAATAGTACAATAAGGCGTCTTATATTTTGTCTAGGCCTAATTTAAGTCCCTTTGCCCTTTTCTTGTAAGGAGAGGATGGGAAGGGGAAGTGAATTTGACGGTGGAGGAGATGCATAGAAAAAAGAAATATCCACTTTATGTGTGTATCCTCCTCCGTTGGATAAGGGTAAACAACGCATCTGCAATTGTGGATGTTTGGCGGCGGTCACTTCGCCATTTTGGCGGATTTAGGTCGCCGTTTGCTGCTTTGCTACCTTATGATATAAAAAAAAAGTTTTGTAGGCAAAAGGTAGTAATTTATAATTTAATTTCAGGACAAAGAAGCAGAAGAATGGGCGGCAGGATTCAACTCAATGTGCGAAGATATTGATCATTTTGATTTAATTGTGGAATAAACGGAATTATTTTTAAGGTAAATTCTGTCATTACTACGCCATAGACGATAAACATATGTTTCTGTTTGTTTTTAAAAAAGGATAGTATATGAAAAACAGGTATTTCAAAAGATTTTAAATACATACATATTTTTATTTAAAGACAATGTGTATTACTTATTTAATTAATTAAAAGTTTTAATTGAATGTTTACTTTACTAATGTATTGGATTGTAAGTGTATATATTCCCACATTCCTTTAGACAGATGTCATACTGTAAACCAGTGTTTCTCAAAGTGGGTGATGACGCCCCCTGGGGGCATTTGAAACCTAGAGAGGGGCGTTATAGAGCCCCAGAAATAATTGGGGGGCGTTGATATGGGTTAGAGGGGCGATGCATTTGTAATTTTAATTTCACTAATATTGTATAAAAATGGGGGGCGCTGAAAGAAATAAGTTTGATAAACACTGCTATAGACCTACAAGGCTCTTATAGCATTTGGCAATTTTTTGAAATAACATTGTCATCTCGAAAGCATCATTTTAGACAAATTAGAGAAAGGCCATTGTATAGTGAATGTTGCAATTTTTATAATTTTTAAAGTGATAGTGTTTGATTTTGTTTTCAAAGTGGAAGAATTACGAAAGTTGAGAATATTTTGCTTAGTAACCAGAAAAACTAGCAAGCGCGATGTCAATTTCAAAAAAGTGCCATAAAATCCTTGTAGGAAATAACTGTGTCGTCTTTTTACTTATTGTCATTTCCTCCGCTTATGTTGGTATTACATATTTTTATTTTTGTCATTTCCTCTGCTTATGTTGGTATTACATACTTTTATTTTTGTCATTTCCTCCGCTTATGTTGGTATTACATATTTTCTGACAGAACAATAAAGACAGAAAAGTGTCTCATACTCACCTGTAACCCATTTGGGTTGTTTTTTTAAGTTACTCGGAACTAAGATAGATATTGGTACAATCTTTTACTTTATATTAAAATCTAAAAGAGATATTTATTTGAAATGTAATTAAGTTAGAATTACAATAAATACTAATCTAGGTTTTTAAGGCTAAATAATTCCGGGGCTTTATAAATATATGCATGCAATTAAAAATAAGATTTGACTTGAAAAGTTTTCATATTAATGCTAATAAATGCTATTTTATTTCATAGAAGTTAATTTATAAAACAAAAATTAAATTTGAATTTAAAGGTGTTGCCATAAGAAAAATAATTATGTTTTTATCTACATTTCTTTAGTTTTAAGATTTTTATTTTAAGAAAGAAAATAGCAAGTAAATGTGCTCTGGATTAAAATCTGGTTTATTAACATTTAAGTTTATTGTCTAAGTTTCATGACATTACAATCGTTAAGGGTCGTTTAGTAGTCACTAAAGGACTCCGCTTAGGGTAGATTTTACAGACTGAAACACTCACAGCCTTATAAATAAACGCGGTATAAAGTTAAATAAACTAAGTATAAATAAAATTTGTACTAATATTTGCTTATACTCAGCTTATTCCTAAGTTTAACTTTACACCTCGTTTATTTGTAAGGCTGTCAAGGTTTATCATATTCACCATTACAATGAGTGTGCAAGACAATTTTTTTTTAGCGATCATGACATTTTTTACTCTGTAACTGAGTTTTTTTTTTAATAAAATTAATTAACACCTTATAGGTATCGCTGGACGAATTTTTAAATGTTAGCTGTTTTTTATTTAACAGCCAATGTATGGGGTATATCTCAATTCAATGTGCAACGCGCCCACAATAACTTAGTTGGTTGCAGTTGACGTCATCGGACTTAGGTCTCTATGCATGTGTGGTTCTATTTAGTGAAATAATGATTATCTTGTGTTAAGTCTAATAATAATAATTCTGTATATAATAGTGTATGTTTTATTATTTTAATTGGCAATAATTAATTAGTTTAAGTTTTATCCCATCATGACTTTGCCATAATTCTCATTTTATTGATTTTTTTTTAATAAAAGTTTTATAATGAAAATGTTGTTTTATTAACCTGCAGCCAAATTCAACCTTAAAGAGTGAAGTGAATAATGTTAAAGTTCCAACGACGTCAAAATGGCTAAAGTCCCTTTTAAATATTTTAAACATAAATCTATAATTACGATAAATGAAAAGAAAAAATAATTTGCAACATTACATTTATTATTACTCAATGCTTAAATTATATTTACATTTCGTTTACACAAACATATGGAAAGCATATAACACGTTAAATGCCACTATGATTTACGTAAACACATGGATTTAGCAGTGAATTTGTTACTATTCCTTGACACTTGTCTTTTTTTTTCCGAAGAGAATATAGATGAGAATTTGTGTCAAATATTGCAGTTTAAAACCCGTAAATGACATTTTAATACTTTATTATAAATATTTGTACATTAAATCCGTAGCAGCATTGAAAGGGTTAATGTATTTAACAGTATAACATGAGCTCGTCAATACTACAAGCTTTGAAGCAGCATTCGTCGACTACAAATCGTTTCCCGCGCGCTTGTAATCCCATACTTCTTGCCTTCTCAGCTGACATCCAGGGCCAATAAGGTACCACTCCGTCTTTGTAAGGGGGTGGCGTGATTACATCTGGAACTATAAAAATGAATATTAAATGAAGTCAAAGGTAGACCTAGAAAGAGATGGATGGATTACGTTAAAAGTGACATGATCAAAAAGGGAGTGATGACTGAGATGACGTATGATAGAGTTATGTGGAGGACAAAAACCTGCTGCTCCCACTACGGGAGTAGGATAAGGAGAAAGATGATCTATACTAATATGGTAAAGAGGAAAGATTGGTATTTTTGTATGTATTGAAATAACTCAAAAGCTACCCAGCCAATTTCATAAATTCTTTCACCATTAGAAAGCTATTTTTCGTAGGATATATATTTATATCACGTGGATGAAGTCCCGAGCAATACTTACTATAGATGGAATTATGTCCAGCACGTTTGCCAACTTTTTCTTTCTCGACGTAACAGATAAGTGCCAAAGCTTTCGACAATACCGGACCGCAGTACTGCTGGGGTTTTATATCTCTGATATCCTGAATAGATATCTGACCTCCAATATGTCCCCGTGACGATGAAATCATCCACAATGTTATGATTATGGAGATAATTAATTTAAGCATCTGTTAATTCGAAGAAAATTAAAACATATATTTTTTTAAAAACTTTCATAAGACATTATACTATAGCTATATCTATACATAAAATAAAATTGAAGTGTCTGTTTGTAATATCAAGAGAATTATCCAGGTTTTGGGAAGATGTATATGCGTTTCTGATAACGAAAATCGCAATTAAAATACTTTGTCTATCTGTCTATCGGTCCGCTAGCCGCGTTTGTTTCGGGTAATCTCCGAAACGGCTGGACGATTTCGACGGGCATGTTATAAGCTACTTTTTTTAAATTAATTATAAAACATGACTTAACTCAACTGAAAAGTGTATAGACACAGAATTATTTTTCACGACGGATTTTACACGTGATTTAAGTCGAGTTTTATTTTAATATAATCGGTATTTATTTCGAGCTTAGGCATTTGAATAAGTAAAGTTAGTTAACATATAAGTTAAATGGAATTTTATCATTATTATACATAGATAACTTCTAGCTGATTGTTAATCGAATTAATGTTAGCCATACAGGGACAATTTGAAATCGCAGGAAAAAAGCAACCAGGTATAATCCGTGATCCGTGTATGTCAGCCTTTAGCATACACTTTAGTGTAGGAGATAAAAATTTAAATATAAATTGCGATAAAAATTATGAATCTATATTAATAATTAAATATACTCACCTTTGAGACTTTCTCTAAGCTTCACCCTTATCGAATGTGCGTAGACGGTAAACTAAACTGATTTTATACCCCCTGAGAGTGTGCGAGGGTGCTGATAAATATTCAACACCGTTCTTAACACGTATTTGTTTAATGCGACCTGATATATCGACCTTGATTCCAAAGATAATCTACCAGGAACTAGATATATTAATAAACTAGCTGTTGCTCGCGACTTCGCTCGTGCGAAATTAAAAAATAATACAAAATATAGCCCATGTTACTCACAGATAAATTACCTTTTTAATGGTGAAAGAATTTTTAAAATCGGTCTTGTAGTTTTTGTGTGAATGAAGTACATACAAAAATACAAATCTTTCCTCTTTATAATTTTAGTACAGATATATTCATATAAGGAATGGTATGCTATAAGATTTGTTTGTGATACGTTTGTTTAGTGTAGGTTGATTTCAGGAGGTTTTATTACTCTGGTTTTATTTTAGCAAGGTAAAAGCTTTTTATTTTTTCATCCTTCAAGCTTTTCATCCCATCTTAAATTTAAAAAACCCTTACTAATTTGAGTTTTTATATGAAACTTAAAAACCTATAGTGTAATAGCAAACATTATCAAATAAATAATCGTAAAGCAAAAATATTCAAAACCGTAATTTCAAATTTCTTGTATTATTTAATTAAAAAAAATATTGGGTTATTTATAATTTCTTTAACGTCTCTCAGTGTGTCTCCAGGCTAAAGCTCATTCAGTGTAAACAAGCTTCAAATAAGGTGAGCGTTTTCATAAATAGGAAAATGAAAATACATTTCAGACATGCGTGGCTTTATTTCTTAGAATTGTGTGTTATTTGTGTCTATTTCGTACATTTAAAAATCTGTCTAGCATACAGAAGTTTTCAATTTTATCTTTTAATATTTTGTATTGTCTAGCTGTTTTCCGTATCTTGGGATTTTGTAATTTTCTTTTATGTCAGATTGCATCTATCCATTCATTTATTTCTATGACATTGTACAACATATAATATTAAGCTCCAGAAAACTTTTCGCTTTACACGACATGAAAAAATTATAAAAGCGCCACCTACGTGAAACTTTTAAGTTTCTTCTTCTTTAAACTCAGAAACGTTTTAAGGTGTGACCAGTCCTGACATCTAGTGATGAAATTTAGTTTTAAAACACTGCTTTACTCACGTCAACTATCAAGTTATAATGTATTCAAAGGTAGATGGCGTTACTTGTAAGAAAATATACATTGATGTTCAAATAAAACCATACCCGCAAGAAAAGAGGTAGGCAGAGACTATAGCATTTACTTGGATTGATGTTATCGTTAATTTCCAGACATACTACTTTCATAAAGTTTGGTAAAAGAAAATATATCAGTGCCCACGAGTATGTTTACCGCATTAGTTTGGATGTATAGACTGCAATTTGCAATCATACTACGCTTGCAGTGCTTAACCCTACGACTCTACTGTTTGGCTGCTTACTTTACGGCCTTTGATGATAGAGGCGCAAGGCACCATTGTCTTTACATACCTGTCTCAATCTCTCTACCTCTCGAATGTATCTTGTACAAAAGTTGCATCACGCTGTATTACATTTCTACTACGATATAACGATGGCATTCTCGACAAATGTCAATTGTTTGGATACTTCATATTCGAAAATGTGGAGTAAGTAACCATTTAATAGATACCTTCACTTGATGGGTCAGGTTTAATGTAATCAAGAATCATAAAGTGTTACAATAATTCATTTACAATGTTTAATGGAAATGAATAAAATAAAATAGTATATTTAAAGGGAAAACTCATTAATTTACTTTAGAAGTAATAACGTATTCATTGGTTCAACTCAATCAAACGAATGGAGTAAAATTATACGAACATAATTTTTCCTCAAAGCTATCTAATTAAAATTGAAAAATTAATCCATCCAACAAAGTGAGTATCCCACTCGGCCCTAATGTGATGGCTCACGATATTAAAATGATTGCTCTTTGGCAAATATGGCGGCCGGCTGAATTATACAGCGGAAGCAAATATTACCCTCGCAAACATACGTCCCGGGAGAGCGAGCTAGTTCGCGCACTCAAAATTAAATGCACACAATGAAAATACTGAGCCGAGAGCCCCTACTAGATACCTACGTCGCGAAAAGTAAGCACCTACTCCAAACCTCACTCTTAACACTCCGCGTGGAGTGCGCCGCGGCATTGTTGTCTCTCAAAACAGTCGCCCAAGTGTTTTTTTGTTTATGGACTCTTCGATGTTGCCACTCGAAAATAAATAGCTGCGCGGTAACGAGCAATATGCCCTAACAAGCTGTTACATTGTTTATTTTTTATCAATGTGCAATTGTTTGCCAAAAATATATCCACAATTAATTGTTTGATTCTGTTAGAGTTCATTTTATTGGACCCAAAATTGCAAACAGACGAAATTAAAATAGAAGGTGTATTGATATTTCACGAAATGACAACGAGATCTAACTCTTCTCTTACTCAAGTTAACTTATGTTCGAGAACCGTGCTTAATAAATTAACAGTGGGACTGTTTTAGTCATTTAATTAAAGGGTGACTGAACACGCAGTCAGGTCGGCCGGGCCGGGAATATTAACCGCAATTCTCGGTCAATATTAACAAAATTGACACGTCAAATATTTGTAACTTCGTCCTGGGACCACGTTAGACTGCAAACAAAATCGTGTCTGGTCCTCCCTTAATTTCCGATGTTCCTACAAGCGTTCGTATTTGCGCCAATTTAGATTTTAACTGGTGAACATTGGGTGTAAGTTTGTGTGGAGCGGTGGGAAGGAGATAGCCGCTTGTCAAAACAAAATGGCGCTGACTGTGTTTGAATTGGGCCGTATCAGTCGCGAGCGGAGATTCATTTTGTCGCCTTGCTTAAGATCGTAGTAGTCTCCTACATATTGTCTTTGTACACAGAGTGAGTGTGTGCTCGCCGCTCGCGCTCGCCCGCTCTACTCGCGTGTCGGGCTTGCATTTAAAGCTGGTTACAAATTTGTTGTTTCAGTATAAATGCTATGATGATATTGTTTGCAGTTGGTCTTTGCGTTCGATTGAGGAGTTTGTTTGTTGCGCTGCCGACAGCTCTCAGTAATGTAACGAGTCAACACTTCGCATCGATTAAGACGACTTGCTATTATTTACTTATTACTCTTTCAATTACCTTAATTGATCGGTAAAGCGTGACGTAACATAACAAATGAAAGTTGTCTCCGCGATTCAAATTATCGCACAGATTATCTAGATAAGCTACCTGTCTATATTTAGTTACCAAATTTACCTTTGATTAAAGCCACATAAGTTGTAAACATTAACTTTGAAAGAGGAGCATACTTGACAAATATTATATTGTAAACTTTACATTGCGACGGTAAATATTAAATAATATGTGTACAGGTAAATAATACAGTCGCTAGCCGGCTGGTCTACCTGCCGCTCAGTGTTGCCATTATCATAAGCCAAACACGTCAATATTTGCCCACACAACAAGGGCGTAATTTTTAAATAAATTGTGGCATTTCGCGAAATTGCTTTCGCAAATAGAATTGTGGACAACTCCGCGTGGACTAACTTTTTTCGGATTGTTATTTGGTCATGCACTTTGTTGGTTTAACAATGCTAAACAATTCACAAGTGACGAAATGTTTTAATTTGTTACTATTGAACTTTTAGTATCACTAAGTTAAATATTTCCTTTATTCGACGGCAGATGTCGTTGTTGGTTTACAAATGGTTTATTTGAGTTTGATAGAGTTGGTTTTCACCGAGAAGAAAATGTTTTTGCGCTACCGATACCGACGAAGAGATAATTATTTGTTTTTACAATGTATGTAAACTACGTTAATGCGACCACTAACTACTAAAACCCAAATCGTTATAGATATGTAAGATTCCTAGGAAATAGGTTAGATAAAAATAAAAAGCTAAGAGGCTTAAAATTTCATAAACAAGTCGATAACCAAAATGAGTACGAAAACAGAGTTAGTATTATCTCTAGGACTTGTTGTGATTTACAAAATACAAAGGTCGATTACAAACTTTTTAAGAATGAATAATTTTATATGAAAAAAAAAAGATAATACTGGCTGAATTTATTTGCGGACTATTCAATTATTCTGTCAAGGAACGATCAAACGGTGTCCCCCAGACGTGCATTGCGGCGATAAAACGGAACGCAGCCTAAGTAAATAAGAGTTGAACGCATCTGCCTCCGCCCGGCCCTTAGCCGTGAGCCCTTGTGCCTTGATCGGGAACGTTATCAGGGCTCGTTACACTATGTTATACGTGGATTTATTGATATTTATAACCTTTCGAAAAACTTACTTCTTAAAATATTTTGCTCTCAACAATAAGAAATATAAATATAGTAGTTTGATCGTTTTTTTTTCAAAAGCGTTATAAAAATTCAATCTTAATACATGCGACAAACGTATCATACCCGGCACCGCTTTTGAAGTTTTTCTGGTGTTACAGAAGCCCAAGAAAAACATTTAACACGCTATAAACCCCACTATTACAATAATAAAAAATACCCGTAACTATAATTAATTACGAACTATGTTGCCAGTCTTGTCGACATAGAATAAAGAAAGAAAAGAATGGACAATTCCTACACGAAACTCGAACCAAAACAGATTAATTTCTCTAGAACGTAAACGAAGGTAAAATCACGTAGGACTTGAGGGTAGTTGTAAGATTTATGTAAAGCGATGTCGATATACAAACACACTGGTTGCGGGTACTCGTTAACTATTAGGTGTGCAGTAAGCAGATTAAGTTTGTACCAAGTCAGCACGTGCCCGAGCGATACTTAAGTAAAATAGCAGGCGAACCTTGAACTGTAAACATACGCGGTTGGAAACAAGATCTAAATGTGCCGGGAAACTATACCGCATAGAACTTTCTAGAAGTTTTGATAGGGAAGATAATTACTAGAAATTTAACTTATACAAATTCTAACATCAAATTATCTAGACACATTATATCTCTCTCGAATTCGTT